AAAAATATTTCAAAGAGAAACTACAAATTCAGTGTTCAGTTCTTGTCCAAAAGGAAAAATAAAAATTGGCCTTGGATATCTCAGATTCTAGATGCTTTGCTCTTAAATTTGACAGACTAAAAATTAGTCTGTAAACAAGACTTATTTTGTTTTGATCAGAGGAAACTTATATGTTAGTTTTTTAAAAAAAAATATATAGTATTTTGCCAGTTACCTCCCAGGAGATGAACAAGCAGTAAAATTAATGCAGCACTTGCCTGGTACAAATGGCCTCTTGTCCCTTGGGAGGTCGACACCTGCATATTTACAGCCACAGTTTCCTAGACAGTACTTTATCTCCCGACACTACTTAATATCATTGCAATATGGAGGGTACCAACATTTGTTTTTAAACATAAGAAGGTGATGTTTAATTTAAGGTTTATAATTTTTTTCTTATTTTTGAGAACTTTTATTATTAATACCTTATATTATTTCAGTGACTTAGGTGTTTAGGAGAGCAGCCAGACATAAAAATCAAAACAGGAGCATTTTAACTCCCACAAAAGGAAAACTTAAAGTCAAAATAATATTGTTTCTGAACAAAAAACAAACCACATCTATCAAAATTAACGGATTTCCTCAGTAAAATGTAATCCACTGAAATATTCTGTTACTATAATTTTTATTAGCTGTAACAAGGCCACGTAAATAAAGTTGGGGTTTTTTTAGGAAAGGGGGAAAAAAGGAAAGATGTGAAGAATTCTCAGCCAAATATATACAATAATGTCAATTTATATAAAGTTGCAATTATATTTTCTATTGTAAATTAAAATAGATAGAAGAAGGGCTTATATTTTCTATAATTAAATGATAGTTTATATATCAAATTTAAAAAAAAACAGAGTTGATTGGTATATTGGATACACTCTACTACCTTTTTTCCCTTAATACAGGCCAATTTCCATTGCTAGCTGAACAGGAAATGCAAGGCTTGAGATACCTGTGTGGAAGTCTAAATATAAGGCTCTACAATAGTAGCAAATGTATACTGATGTCTTTAATTATCTCTTCTCTGAAATTAAACTTTTACTGTATTCTCAGTTTAAATATTATAATTTGCTATATAAATCTATAGGTCACACTAAACATAATTCTTTGCTTCTCTAAACCCTTTATCAATTTTCTACTAACATTAATTATGCCCAGTGTTTTGACTTATATCTATGTAAGTATATCTCTTACTTTGGAATGTTTCCAGATAGATCTAATGGAAAAGTTATTAATCTTACTTGATTTTAATTCATTTTCTTGTCAAAGTATTGTTTTGTTTGACTGTTCTTTAAATATGTAATCTATCTGATTCCCTGTTTTGAAACCTCCAGTAAAAGGTTCTAGTGGTGTTCTTCAAGTTTAAATTTTTGGTCACAGTCTTGACTAATAC